ATAATTAGTATTGCTCCTCTGTGATGTATGGGATAACATTGTAAAAAAAAATAAAAAAAAATTTAAATACATGACAATAACTATTGTAATATGAAAAATTATGCTCACTTTGTAATTGTTCAAGAGTTGGCTAGTGATCAAGTTTTGTTTGTTTAATATTATTAGTTTATAATACAAATATGAGCAATATAATATCAAAAATTTTAAAAATAATATAGGATACCGTTTTTTCCTTATGATCATGGATATGACTTTAGGTCGATGAATGCTATTAATAAGAAAAGATAATTAAACAAAAAATCGTCTGCTGATTGTGGATTAGGATTCCATAACCATTTGCTATTCGATTTTCTGTGAAAGATATAAAGTCAAAGATTTCATTACAGAATAACTAGAGAAAAATAGTTTAAAAGATAGAAGATTGAAATTGAAAGGATCCCTCTATGAATTTTGAACTTTTAATACAATATTATTTAATTTCAAAAATAAAATAAAAAATAATTACAAAGATGCAATTAAAGTTTTCTAAGAGCATCTTCCAACGTTATCACTATTTTTTCACCAAATCCTATTTTTGGTGATAAAAAAGTGGGTTTATCTCCCACCCTTAGCACACCATTATACAATTTCACTACTTTTGGTAAAGAAATAGTGTTTTTGGTCTCCCACCAATTCCATCATATTTTACACCAAATAATAAAATAATAATATTTCACTATTTTCCTATTTATAGAGAATAACATTTGGTTTGGTCTCCCATGATATTTCACCAAATATATCATAAAAGTATAAATTTAATGTTAATCAATTTTACTCTATTTTAATTCAAAAAAAATATTGATTATTGATACGATTATAAGTAATAATTTTATTAATTATATAATCTTAAAATTATGATGAATTTCAAAAAACTATTGAAACATGAATGAAAATCAACGTAAATTATTATACATATAATAAAACAACACATAAACAATAATTTCATAACTTAATGCATACAAATATTACAACAAAATTAATAAAAATAATTTCATAACTTAATGCATAACTAAGTAGTTTATCTGTATTTTATTTATATAGTTGTCTTGTAATTTATTATGTTACATTATAATGTTATGTTTTTTGTTGTTTTCTGATAATAAATATATTTATTGCTTAAACATATAACTTATTAGAGCCAAACATATTTATATTTATTTAATAATAATAATAATAATAATAATAATAATAATAATAATAATAATAATAATAATAATAATAAAAAATAATGTATTTATCTTTTGAACACTATTTTACTAAGTTAACACTAATACATTTTTCAATAAAAATGTTTATAAATTGGTAATCACATGAAATTAGTTAATATAATAATTTTATATGCCAATTATAAAATGGTGTTAATTACACCAAATCCTATTTTAATTTCTATATTTGATAGAAAAAATAGGTTTTGGTGGAAAAAATGGTAAAATGGTGGAAGGGTGGAAGATGCAAATTTCTTCACCAAAAAAATTGGTGAAAATATAGGATTTGGTAGTATGGTGATATAGGTTTTGACCACATTGAGAGATTAAAACTAAATCATCATAATTTTAGGTGTAATGGTGATTTAGTGATTTAAGTTGGGAGGTTAAAAACACCTAAATTAGGTGTAAAAAATAGAAAATGGTGAAGGGTGGAAGATGCCCTAAGGTTGCCTTACATATAAAATGCATACCAAATATTAGCAGTCTAGCAAAGTTGCACCAATGTTGCATCAAATGATATGATAAACGCTATTTTAATATTTTTCAGTAATGTTTGATGATAATATTGCATGTTAATTAATAAACAAATTCACCTTTAAAAGCAAAAAATGCTGGCACGAAGCATTAAGAGAGATGGATTGAAGTAGCGTATATATAGATTTATAAAATGAAATGCTATTTGCGGTCACAAAATTGCTATTCGCGGTTTATAACAAAACCCCCCAAAACTTTTAAAAATATCTAAAAACCCCCCAAAACTGCAAATAGCAAAAAAAAAAAAAAAAAAATTCGAAAATTCGAAATCAAGCTTGACGAAGGGTTGGGCTTCGATTTTTCGATGTAATTTTGACTCTTTTATGTGTAATATGCATTGGGTAGATC